TAGCAGTGATGGTGCAATGGTCGTAAGTGGGTGGGATGGGATGTAGGTGTCTGTGACCAATTATTTTATTGATTGTGACCAATAAATCGATTAATTCGTGATCAATAAATAATATGACGTAAAAATATGATTGTGAATCATAAATTATTAACTTGTGATCGAGAAACAACTTGTGACCAATTAGTTTGATAATTTGTGATCGTTAAATAAATTATGACTTATAAAATTTTTAATTTGTGATCAATGAATAATTGTAACATATAAAATTTTGATCTATGATCGAGAAATAATTTACGACCTATGAAATTTTTGATCTGTGGTCGAAAAATAATTTATGACTAATTAATTTAATAATTTGTGATTAAATTGTATATAGTTTTGACCTTAATATATATAATTAATAAAATTTATGTTTAATTAATTATTTCATAAATAAAATTTCATTAATATTCGATTTTTGAAGTTTTAAATGCTAATGCATGTTTGGCTAAGTTAGAAAAGAAAAGAAAAGAAAAAAGTTATTTTGAAGTATTTTTGCCTTTTAAGGCATAAGGATATCTTTAAGTGATTTTTTAAACATGAGATGCTCTATATTTTATAGAGTCAATCCTTAAAATCATGCTTCAAGAGATTCTTTATGTTAACATTTTAATTTAGATATTGAGTTTGACTTTCCAAATTTTCTAAAAATTTGTAGAGCCAAACTAACTCTCTATAATTAATTACATTCAAAGTACTTCAATTTTTAATATAGAAAAATAATATATTAATCTGGAGAAAAACTAGTTAAAATAAAAAATAGAGAAAAATAATAAACATTTTGAGAGTAGTACAATTAAGTGTTAAATATAAAGAATCTACTTAAGTGCTTCAAAAATTTCACTCTATCTTTTATTTTAATTATCTATTCTTTAGATTATTATATTATTTTTTCATATTAAAAATTGAAATACTTTGAATATATTTAATTATAGAGAATGAGTTTGACTCTCCAGCTTTCTAAATATGGAGAGCGAAACCCATTTTCTAAATTAAAACATTAATTTAAAGATTCTCTTGGAGTATGATTTTAAGGTTTGACTCTTTAAAATAGTGAGCATTTTATACTTATAAAGTTTCTTGAAAATACTCTTAACACTTTAAAACATCTTGATGATAGACCGAAAAATGTATTTAGAGCTTGTCTGGTACAGATTTTAAGCCAATTAAAATCAATTTTTTGATTTTTATTTCATTATTCTAGCCATCATTTTTGAATTCTTCTCTCATAGATAGAATCCACTTTATCTCTAACGATCAAAAAATCAATTATTAAAATTCTTACCAAACAAGCATTTAAGATTACAGGGTAAATTATTTATACAGTGATGTATTTACTGTTTTGTCGACAATGTGTCATATTTACTTTCTCCATTTTTATTTCCTTTTTTTTTTTTTCCAAATACCTATTTTAAAATTTTAAAATCTTATAAGCACGTGAATTTATGGGAGTGTCAACTGAGCGATGTGGTCAAAACGCAGGGACTGCAAAATTTAAAGTGCTGTTTGGTGCGGCTTAGGAAAAATGTACTCGCTCGAGCACTATTCAACGAAGCTTCTGTTGTCTTAAAAACCGTCTTGCAAATAACCTTTTTTTATTGCATGTAATATTTAAAGTAATTTTAGTTTTATGTAATATATATTTTTTATAGATTAAAATAAATAAAAATTTAATGTTTGAAACCTAATACTCTATACGGTGAAAAAAAAAAAACTCTATTATTTAATGGACATGGAATAATATCAATTTTTTTGGGATTAAGCTCCCGTTTGATTCCTATTATTTACTCATTAAAATGAAAAATATGACCGTTATTCATTACATCAATCCATCATATTTGACTTTCTATTTCTTATGTGGAGCCCGTAACGACTATATTTTTCATTCTCATTTTTACATTAATGTGTATCAAACGGGGCCTAAATTAATAATTAATAAAAAATCTAAAGAATTTTTGACAATTATTTTGAAGTTATGAATTCATTTTATAATGCTTGATTTTTGAAAAAACAAATTATAAAAAGAATTTATGTTTATTTTCAGCAATTATTTTCCGATAGACGTTTCAAAAATTTAAAAGCATCTATTATTTAAATACTATTATTTATAAAATTATATCTTAAAACAAATTTGGAGTATTATTTTAAATTTCAGAATTAGTTTTAATGCTTAATTTTTGAAAAATTAACTTATAAAAAGAATTGAAGTTTATGTTTCAGTATTTATAACATTGATTGTTTTGCATGTTTTCATTATTTAAATAGTAAATTATAAAGTGCTAGTATATGGATTAAATATTAGACTTTTCAATACACAAAATTAAGTCGGAGATGGCCTATCTATTTAAATTTGTGCAATCTGGTATTTAATCTTTATTATTTAGCACTTAGATCCTTCATCTTTAACGTATAGCATTTGGTTGTCAACAGATGTTATCCATCCATTTTTGTCATTAAAAGGGTATATGAATTTCAATTATCTAATTTACAGGGAGATAGGTGAATAGTTTATTACGATGAAAAACAAGCAAATAAAGAGAGCGATGGGGAAAGAACAAAAAGAAAAGAAAAGAGAGAGAAGCAAATCACTCATCGTGCACCCTCTCATTGTGTGATTTAACATGTTTGTAAAATAAGGAGTATCACTCATCATCTATATCGTAACACAAAAATGCATAATTGCATACTGATATTCTGTAATTCAAGTGTTTATCGTGCTAGACATTGTATATTTTTTTGTTAGTTATTCATAGATCGAACATTATTTTAATGAAAATCTTAATTTGATCAAGTTTAAGAGGTCTTTACTAAGAAGAAAGTTCAACACTGTGGGCAATGTGACTTCACGGTACAAGTTAAAGTAACGAAATGACAAAATCAAGACCAAGCTCAGCTTACCATAACGAGAAATACATGGTCACTGATCCAAGCAAGCTCTTTAAAAGAACACGAGTTCATCCTAAAAACTTCATTTCTTGCCTAAGCTATGAAATTAATTAGCACGAGTCAATTATACAATGTAAAGTCTTACCTAAACAAAATCAAGGTTTGCTAAAAGGAGAAGCATACGGCACCTTAGAACTAAAAGAAGATTGACACCCGAAAGATGAAATTATCAATAGAAGTCACAAGTTACGTGATTTAATTTGTAATTGCATGACTATACTATCTAATACGCCACCCTTCCAATTCTTATAAACCCGAGGCCACAATCATGAGAAACGTTCAAGAATTCAACATCTTGTTGAAATTCTGTCAAAATCCATTCCGAGTTATAGTACACGCAATGAGATCCATTTTCTCTATTGTTAGATACTCCAACATGTATGCGAGAATTTAATTTGACAAAATTAAGGATTTTATTTATTATCGGTCGATTGAGGTCTCCTGTCAAAATCCAACCCCAGAAATAACGCTTGTATTATATAATAACTTTTGATGATTTTTCATATTTATTTTGACAATAAAATTAAAGAAAATCAATATTTAGATAAATGCACTATAAGTATGACAAATCAAAGATAAATGCAATATATAATTTTTTTTTCTATTAAGTATCGACTTATTTTTATTTTATATTAAATATTATAACTGTGCAATTAATTTTCAAATAGAAAATAATCTAGGTCTTATTTAGCTATCACTTGTACCATTGTATGTCCATCTTTATGATGATTAATTTCACCTTTTACAATGAAAACAACCATTTCGTCATTGGGTTGATATTGGAAAATTGAGAATTATTATTATTATTATTATTATTATTATTATTCAATTGAGAACTAAATTGTCATTTATTGGAAATTTTTCTTGTAAAAATGTGAGACCTGAAGGGCTAACGTGCAAATTTGGCATTTCAGAAACTCAACGAATCCTCGAGAAATTTCTGGAGAAAGCCAGAAAGCGAAAAGGAATTCACACTAGCAAGCCAATTCAATGGCTGGTGCTGGAAGACTCGCCGATTACCCGAAGAATGTTCTAGACCTCACCAATCCCACAGTATTTAA